AAAAAAAAAAAAAAAAAAGTGTTCTAGATTAGAGAGTGGTAATCAGTGAATACTATTCTAAATATCCTAAAACCACTGAACAGTACAGTCTATTTTTTTAATTTTTTTATGAATTGTTCATTTTTAATGGGTGAATTTTATGGACTCCTTAGAGAATGATGACAATTCTACATCCGGACATATACAGAGTATGGGAATATGTTTTAACAAAAGAAACTTAACAAATCTCTGGACGACACCCATAGCTCAGTTGGTAGGGCACCAGCCACATACACCAAGGCTAGCGGGTTTGAACCCAGCCTGGGCCAGCTAAAATCAACATTGACAACTGCAATTAAAAAAAAAAAAATAGCTGGGCATTGTGGTGGGCGTCTGTAGTCCCAGCTGCCTGGGAGGCTGAGGCAAGAGAATCACTTAAGCCCAAGAGTTTGAGGTTGCTGTGGGCTGTGATGCCACAGCACTCTACCAAGGGCAACACGGTAAGATTCTATCTCAAAAAAAAAAAATGAATGTAAATTTTGATGAAAATCAAGCTGGAGGGAGGGGAGAGAAAGGGATGGGTGAATTCATAGCTGTTGGGTGCAGTGCACACCATCGGGATGAAGGGCACATTTGCATGTATAGCTTTGACTCAAATTTATACAAGAACAAAGTATGTAAATAAAACATGTATACCCCCTAATATTCTGAAATTTATAAAAAAGAAGGTAACATCTGTACTAGTGTGTCACAGGGATTCAGGAACCAGTTTGAAGCTATTCCCACTGTCCACAGAGGAGATAGGCTGAGCATTAAAAGTAATAATTAACCCATCAAATATGTTTATATCCTATGGTTAAAATGATACTTAAAAGAAAAGCAACCCATTGGCCACCTTTGGAGTATATTGGGGGAAAAAATTATTGTTTTGGAAAGTGATAGGTAATGGGACAGAACCAAGCATATGGTTCTGCTTTTTACGTTATAAACTGTACTTTGGAATTCCCAGATGTAATTGATGATCATGAAATTTCTCTGTAGAGAGGATTCTGCCTAAATAATGAATGAAGAAAGAATAGTAGAATGCCACCATTTACAACCCTAAAGACGTAATAGGCCAGGTCCATTGTCTCACACTTTTAATTCTAGCACTTGAAGAGGGTAAGTTGGGAGCATCCCTTGAGCCCAAGCATCTGAGGTTGCACTGAGTTATGATAACACTGCTGCACCCTAGCTCAGCAACAAAGCGTGACCCTGTCTCCAAAAAGTATCATGTCCCCCAGAAGGAAGTATATGCGACCACCTGAATGTTTTCTACCAGAAAAAAACCAACACCTCTACATGTATATTTAATTGGCAATTTATAAGGAATTGCTATAGTGTTTCCCTTATATTTGATCAAGAGAATGTTTGGCCAGGTGCTCACTTCTGTAATCCTGGCACTTGGGAGGCTGAAGTGGGTGGATTGCCGGAGCTCACGAGTTCAAGACCAGCCTGAGCCAGAGTGAGACCTCATCTCTAAAAAATAGCCAGGTGTTGTGGCAGGTGCCTAAGTCCCAGCTATTTGGGAGGCTGAGGCAAAAGGATCACTTGAGCCCAAGAATTTGAGGTTGCTATGAGCTATGATGCTACAACACTTTACCAAGAGTGACCAAGTAAGAACCTGTCTCAAGAAAAAAAAAGAGAATATGTTAAATGACATCTCATAGGCATGTAATGAAGAAGATCTAGATCTGGGGAAGAAATAAGCCAAATGCCCTGGGTTTTCTTTTGTTGTTTGTTTGTTTTGAGACAGTCTCACTTAGTCTTACTCTGGTCGCCCTGGGTAAAGTGCTGTGATATCACAGCAACCTGAAACTCTTGGACTCAAAAGGTCCTCTTGCCTCAGCCTCCCAAGTACTTGGGACTACAGGCGCCCACCACAATGCTCAGCTTGTTTTTCTTTTTAGCAGTGATAAGGCTTCTTAAAATAGAAAAACAGCACTCTCACTCAGGCTAGTCTGGAACTCCTGAGCTCAAGCAGTCCAACCACCTGAGCCTCCCACAGTACTAAGATTATAGGCAGGAGCCACCACACCCAACCTTCTGACAGACAAATTACAAAATACAGAAAGAAATACGTAGGACGGCACCCATAGCTCAAGGAGTAGGGCACCAGCCCCATATACCTGAGGTCACGGGTTCAAACCCAGCCCCAGCCAAAAACTGCAAAAAAAAAAAAATTACAGAAGGAAACACAACACGTAGTACATTAATAACAAATCAGGACATTTCTGATCAGAGTACCAAAGACCTTGTATTGATTGGGAAAAGGGCAAAAATACCAATTCACTTAATTTTACATTAAAAGGGCTCATTAAAATTCTTGTTACCACTAAAGTATGTAATTTCTGTTCTGTTCTTTCTTTTTTTCTTTTTTTGAGGCAGAATCTCAGTGTGTCGCCCTCAGTAGAGTGGTGTGGTGTCACGGCTCGCAGCAACCTCAAACTCTCGGGCTTAAGTAATTCTCTTGCTTCAGCCTCCCAAGCAGCTGGGACTATAGGCACCTGCCACAATGCGGAATGTTGTTTTTTTGTTTTGGGGGGGTTTTTTGGTCATAGTTGTCATTGTTTTCAGCAGGCCCAAGTTCAAACCTGCCAGCCCCGGTGTTTGTGGCTGGCACCCTAACCACTGAGCTGCTGGGTGCTGAGCCAAACTGTGTGTAATTTCCAGGTCAGTGGAGTGGAATAAAAAAGGAAGAAAAGTCAATTAAGAAAAAGAAAAGAGAGTGGCGCCTGTGGCTCAAGGAGTAGGGCACCGGCCCCATATACTGGGGGTGGCGGGTTTAAGCCCAGCCCTGGCCAGAAATGCAAGAAAAAAGAAAAAGAAAACAAACTGAAAATCTGGGACATGTCATATGTGAACTATTGTACTGGATTGTGGGTGGCTGACCCCTGCAATTCTAGCACTTTAGAAGGCCAGGGTGGGAGGATTGCTTGAGGGCAAGAGTTTGAGACCAGCCTGGATAACATAGTGAGTCCCCATTAAAAAAAAAAAAAAATTCAGCCAGGCATAGAGACACATGCCTGTCATCTCAGCTACTCACGAGGCTGAGACAGGTGGATCAGTTGAGCCCAGAAGTTGAGGTTACAGTGAGCTATGATAACACTACTGCACTCTAGCCTGGGCAACAGAGTAAGAGCTTGTCTTTAAAAAAAAGAAAAGATGGGACAAAAAGAAGCTGTAAATAACAACATTTTATACATGTATATCCAAATATATCTTTCCCATAAGCATAAATGGACTAAGTTTCACAACATTAAAGATTGGCAGCCTGCAAAAGAAAATCCAGTATAATAGTTCACATGAGATGTATTTATTACAGAAAGGTTAGAAGTAAATGAATAGAAGGTGGAGCCTGTATCTCAAGCGGCTAAGGCGCCAGCCACATACACCAGAGCTGGCAGGTTCAAATCCTGCCCAGGCCTGCCAAACAATGACAACTACAACCAAAATATAGCTGAGTGTTGTGGTGGGCACCTGTACTCCCAGCTACTTGGGAGGCTGAGGCAAGAGAATCACTTAAGCCCAGGAGTTGGAGGTTGCTGTGATTTATGATGCCATAGCACTCCACCGAGGGTGACAGCTTAAGGCTCTGTCTCAAAAAAAAATTTTTTTTTAAAAAGAAGTAAATGGATAGAAAGGATAGCATTGGGAAACATCAGTATATTCTCTCTTCAGAAAGCTTGAAGACTTTATTTATTTTTTTCTCTTTTCAGGTTAAAGAAGAAGGAATTTAGTTTGGAAGAAATATATACCAATAAGAATTATAAGTCTCCTCCTGCAAACAGGTAGGTGCAGACAGCTGGAAAATAAAAGAGAGGAAAAAATTCTGAAAGGACCAATGTAAATCTCTGCTCCTTTCATTTCAGAAAGGATTTATGGGCCAGTTGCAGTAGTTCATGCCTCTAATCCCTGCACTTTGATCAAAGTGGGAATGTCACTTGAGGCCCAGAATTGAGATAAGCCTGGGCAGCATTATAGACCCTATCTCTTTTTTTTTTTTTTTTTTTTTGAGACAGAGCCTCAAGCTGTCCCCCTGGGTAGAGTGCTGTGGCATCACAGCTCACAGCAACCTCCAACTCCTGGGCTCAAGTAAGTCTCCTGCCTCAGCCTCCCAAGTAGCTGGAACTACAGGTGCCCACCATAATGCCCGGCTATTTTTTGGTTGCAGTCGTCATTGTTGTTTGGCAGGCCCAGGCTGGATTCATACCTGCCAGTTTAGGTGTATGTGACTGGCACCTTAGCCACTTGAGCCACAGGCGCTGAGCCTCTATCTCTAGTTCTTAAAAAATCAGCCTGACATAGTGGTGTGCACTTATAGTCCCAACTAGTCAGGAGTCTGAGGTGTGAGAATCATTTGAGCCTGGAGTTTGGGGTTGCAGTGAGCTGTGATAATGCCACTATACTGTAGCCTGAACAATAGAATGAGATCCTATCTAGGTTTTGTTTGTTTGTTTGTTTTAAATTAGACAGGGTCTCACTCTGTCACCTTGGGTAGAGTACACTGACATCATCACAGCTGAAAGCAACTTCAAACTCCAGCCTCAAGGGATCCTCTTTCCTCAGCCTCCTGAGTAACTGGTACTGAGGGCTCCCACTACAAACATGGCTTAGTTTTTCCATTTTTTTAGTAAAAACATGGTCTTGCTTTGCTCAGGCTGATCTTGAACTCCTGAGCGCAGGCATTCTAGTCCTACCCACCTCAGCCTCCCAGAGTGCTGGGATTATAGGTATGAGCCACCACAACTGACCTGAGACCCTGTCTCTTTGGGAAAAAAAAGAAAAGAAAGAAAGGGTTTATGTTCAGTTCTGTTCCTTATCTGGCCTAGGGAAAGGAACTTGGTGGCCTGTCCTTCGTGGTCTCATTTAGTTGAAGAAAGATAAGCTGTGTTTTCTTAACTATAAGTAGAATAGAAATTTTTGTCTCCACTTGAGTTGGGATCAATAATGCGATTGGAAAGCAATGTGTTTTGGGTTAGATTAGTGGTTCTCAACCTTCCTAATGCCACGATCCTTTAATACAGTTCCTCATGTTGTGGTGACCCCCAACCATAAAATTATTTTCACTGCATGAAGTAGCAGTGAAAATAATTTTATGGTTGGGGGTCACCACAACATGAGGAACTGTATTAAAGGATCGTGGCATTAGGAAGGTTGAGAACCACTGGGTTAGATAGATAGAGAAAATGTCAGTCTCCTTTTACTTTGCACTTGTGTTTTTACCAAATACACTGTCTTCCTCAGGACTGATAATCAACCTTTAGCTAATATTCTAAACCTAATACAGAAAGAGTTTCACTTAGCCACTTTTAGGCCTGAATTCCAGTCAAGTCAGGGAACATTTATTAAATGCCTATTGTGTTTAGGACATAACAGGAGAGTATTAGAGTTTCTTTTCTTTTTTCTTTTTTTTTTTTTTT